TATGGCAGGGCTTTCAATCAGAGAAACATGGGACTGAAGGTTAAGATTTTGAAAATTCTGACTGTATGCAAAGAATGTGAGAATGGCTATCAGGAAACCAGATAGTATGCTATTATGGCTAACATGAGAGCTGATGGAATATTGATTTTTGGAACAGGATACATTGTGCTAATGGACTGTAATCTTAGTATGACTAAAATAAAGGCTGATTCTAGTTTGGGGCCTGACAAGTGAGTAATTGAAGGTACTATTTACTGAGACAGGCAAAGTAAATGAAAGCATGGGCTTAGGCTGTAAGGAAGAATGTAGGGAGCTTAAGAATGAGTTAGAACTAGACTGATTTGAGAGTTACCAGCACACAGATAATATTTAAGTGGTAAGACAAAACAAAGAGAAAGTAAAGACAGGGATGAAAAGAGAGAATTGAGCTCTGGGCATTCAGCATTTTCAAGGACAGATAAAGGGTGGTTTAGTAATTGTCATTTAATTGGCTAATAAGAAACTTTGATGTTACAGAAACTAAGTGAGGCAACAAATTTCAAGAAAACAATAATACTGAATCAGAAGAAGACAGAGATTGGCCACTAAATTTGGCATACTGGAAGCCAATCATGATAAGGGCAATCTCAGTGTAATGTAGTACCTAACTACATTAGATTCTGACATCTACTGAGTACATAGGGAATCAAAGGCATATTGATAAAGTTTTATTTCTTAAGATGAATAGTTTAGCCATGGTGTATACAACATGATTATCTAAATCTTGAGTGACTTTAAAGGCAACTCTTATAAATGAGATTTGTATATGGAGAAGCAGAAAATGCTTTTTAAGAAGATACAAATTAAAATATATCTGGTCATGCCATGAAAAACAATGACAGATAAAAATTTATTAAGGAGGGGGTGGAATGATAGCTCAGCGACTGAGAGCACTGGCTGCTTTTTCAGAAGACCCAGGTTCAATTCCCAGCACCTACAAGGCAGCTAACAACCATCCCTAACTCCAGTTCCAGGGAATGTGATGCTCTCTTCTGACCTCCATGGGCACTGCACAACACGGGTGCACTTACACTCATGTAGGCAATACACTCATATACATAAAATAAAAATAATAAAATATTTTAAATTTATGAAAGAAAGGTCCTTAGGTAAGAAAGAACAGACAGGATCAGTGCATAAGTGAAAGATTAAGGCCTTGAACAAAAGCATAACGGCTCAGGGCTAGAGAGACTGCTCAGTGGATAAGAGTGAGTACTGCTCATTGTAGAGGATTCAAGTCCAGCTCCAAACTTCCATGTTGGGCAGCTCATAATTGTCTTTAACTGCAGGGATTTGATGCTTCTGGCCTCCACAGCTATCTGCATTCATGTGCATACACACACACACACACACACACACACACACACACACACACAAATAATACTAAAAAAATAACAGTTCATTCATTGTTAGAAAAAACAACAAAATATCTACATATAGAGCACAACTTAGATTGGTGGTAGGAATATGAGGTAATATCTATGTTGGCTATAATTATTTCTGAAAGCTGGGTATGGTGGCACATGCCTTTATCCCAGCACTTGGGAGGCAGAGGCCTCTCTGTGAGTTTGAGGCCAGTCTGGTCTACATAGCAAGTTCAAGGTCAGCTGGGGCTACAGGGACACCCTGTCCCCAAAAGACACAAACAAACAAAAAACAAACCACAATTATTTCTGAAAGCAAAACACGGCAATCTGTAGGGGTGGGAAAGACATTCTGGAACCACATTCATGGGCTTTTGTTGGACTTTTTATGGCAGTTAATTAGATCTCTAGAACTGCTCTCTAGCCAAGTCTAATTTTATCTGGCCATTGTAGACTGGCAAGTTTGACTGCTTGAACTAAAATGCGAACATTATATATTATAGCTCCATTGAGGGAGGAAACAATGAGAATGTACTGAGAATGAGAAAGAATAAAAAATACAATTTACTATAAAGTCATTTGTTATGGTTTCAGATGAAACGAGATCTACACTTTTACATTTAAAATGGGGCAAGCTTGATGAGTTGTGCTTTTCCTCATCCAAGTTTAGCTGCTTAGATGCAGGCATATGAACAGCAAAGAGTTGAATTTAAATAGGTTTTGGGGGGTTTCAAGCCAAGAATACTATAGGAAGAACAGAGTAAAGGGGCTAAGGATGTTTGTAAGAGACTGGTAATAATGATGGGTCATGGAATCTCAGCTAGGAAAAGTATCAGGGTGGTAGAAGATCAAAAAACCCAATCCAAAGCCAGGGGTGGGGTGGGCTGGTGGTGGTGGTCCAGTACTCAGGAGGCAGAGGCAGAGGCAGGTGGATCTCTGTGAGATCAAGGTCAGCCTGATCTACACAGTGAGTCCCAGGCCAGCTAGGACTATAGGGAGACCCTATCTCAAAAAGACCAAAAGGAAAAAAAAAAAAAAAAAGCCCATGCCAAAGACAGATCTTAGCAGAGTAGGCTATCTGCCATGAATACTATTTAACTCAATCTGATCATCGTGTTCTTCTGCCTTACCAAGGTCTCTTCGTTTTTTATATGAAGTTATCAGACACAGTCTTAAAAGCAATTACAGAAAAGGTATCGCCAGTCCTCTGGTGATAAAAAGCATGCTGTCCTGCTCCAGTGTTGTAGGGCAGGAGCAGAGGCTAGAAGCATCATCTGGTGTTGTGAAACGTGTACACAGCTGCTCTCAGGTTTACTCATGTCTACCTCTAAGTGTGGAAATGAAAGCA